TGGAGCTTGTTCGCCAGTACCCGACCATCGTGCCAGAGCCTTCGAGGCGGGAACTGACCACTTGCGTGGTGGTGCATTTGCGGAGCTGCGCGATGGCCAGCATCGCCTTCACGCCGAAGCACCACTTGCTCCTCCACTTGGTGGACAGGTGCTTTCTTTTTTAGTTGCCATTTAAACTTTAATGCTCTTGCTGGCCTGCCAGTTTGAGTGCACATGATGTGTTGCCTCCCCTGCGCGGGGTGAGTGCGGGGGCGCCGCGTTTGACATCAGCGGGTGCATCATCGCAGTGTCTTGGAAATCGCCAGGTCCCCCCTAAGAATTAATGCACACACCCGCGGTTTCTAACCTAGCGCTAACCTTAGAAAAAATGTTAAACAAATAAACCTCCAAACAGGGTGGGCGTTCACGGTAGCCCGAAGCAGTACAACTGTTTCACCGATGAGACCCTCAACTCTAGCCTCCGAGACGTGATGGTTCACGCGCACCCGTCCAGGTTCGAGGTCAGAGTGTTCAGCCTTTTCGATTTACAGGAGCGCCTCAACATTTGCCCTCATTTCGTCACGAGGGGATGGGTCGCACTCGTCTCGTGATCGTTTCACTCCTCGCCATGGCGGAGTCAGGCGCTGCTGCGGTCGGTGCTGCTGGTGGTGGCGCCCCTGCTGAGCAGTCCCCTGCAGCCAAGGGCCGCAACAAGGGCGCCAAGGGCCGCAGCCGTGGGCAGTCGAGCGAGGCAGGCACGCCCAAGGCGGGCAAGTCCTCCGCGCAGGATGACAGCATCAAGGCCCTGACTACGGAGGGTAAGCAGATCATCTTGAGGTACCACACTTCGATCGGGCTGGCAGACGGCATATGCTACAACATCAACGAAGACAGCACCTGGGCATGCCTCAAGGGCGACGACGACGCCAAGGCCTTGATCAGGGCAGTGGCCGACGTCCGTCACGAGGTCCACTCCACTGGGCTCAGCAAGACATTGACTGCTGAGTCGCTGCAGGCTCTCAGGAAGAATGTCGGAGACGGGGAGTACATCAGCCACCTGCACAGGCTGAGGGAGTTAGATAGGAAGATCAAGGATCTGATGAAGCTGACCTCTAGGGTCAAGATGATTCACAGGGTGAAGACTGCCGAGTCAGACTAGGGCTGGAAGCCCGCTTGCAGACTCACTCTCTTCAGGTAGGCAGTTTTTGCATGCTCGAGTGCAGGCTTTTCTGGTTTAGGGAATACTAAGGGGGAAAGCGAGATTACTGTCTCAACGAGGGGAGGAGGGGGGGTTTATCTGGTTAGACGTTTGACTGGGTGCTGCCAAGCCTTGGCCAGAGCTCAATCTAGCAAGCTTTTTTCAGTTTGAACCGTGGCGCAGCCGCCAGCCACAGCGCGCAGACCGGTGAGCGACCGGTGAGGGACCGGTGAGCCCCAGTGAGGAGCGTTTTCCCTGATAAAACACAGGTAAAACGGCCTCACCGCATCGCCGGTGAGCCACCCGTGAGCCACCGGTGAGCGGTGAGCCACCGGTGAGCCACCGGTGAGCCACCGGTGAGCCACCAGAATTCCAAAAAAAAAAAAAAAAGTTTCTGCGTAAGCAAAGCAAGCAGCCTGCCATTCTCCCGATCGGCAGCCTGGCATTCTTTCTATCTAGCACAGTCGCCTGCAGAGCTGCTGATTTTGTGTGCGCACAGGTCGCGGCAGCGCTGGCATGCGTTCTTGTCTGGCTTGGGTGCTGCAGCTGTGCGAGTCATAGATCTGTAGTGGAATGCACAGGTCCCTTGAGCGCAGCAGAGCAGCAGTATTTGGATTTCAGGTTTCGAACTCGACACGCATGGAGTGAAACGTCGTGCAACAAAACATTGTATTGTAAAAGCATCGTATAACGTAAACTAACGCATGGTCAGCATCGCCCCGCCCCCCCTCCCCCCCCCCCCAGCAAACAAAGAAAAAAACACTGCAGCGAAACGCACAACATGTATATAACAACTGCACGGACACATGACAATTAAGCATATGCGTTTAAGCGTCATGCCCCTGTGTACACACCCTTGCTCCCACAGCCGCTTGCCCAAACTTGCACATCCGCCTCGCCAATTACAAGCGCTTTGAGAAGTCGCGCAGATGGCGAGGCCCCGCAGTCGCGGGCATCGTAGTCGAGCCAGCATCCCCACGCTGTCTTCGCAGAAATGTAGAGATGCTGGATCGGAACTGTTGCGCAAGCTGCTGTCGCTGTATGCCCAGTGCAAGATTTCAGCGATCGATTTCTGCACGCTGTGTCATCTAGCAGTTGAAGCGGGGGTCCCTGGAGCAAACTTCGCAATGCATGGTGCCCCTCCTGGGAAACAAACGGGCAAATACCAGGACCACCTATCCAAAGTGCTGCCACAACCGACAGGCATGGTGATGGTTAGGACACCAGTCAATCTACATCGCAGGCCGCAGCGGACCATACGAGACGTGCCTGTGCGGTGCGCGTTCGAGTCGATCGATGATGAGGTTCAAGCAGACCCCTCAATCCTCAGAATCCTGAAGGCGATGCCTGAGGATAGAGATTCCTGCGTCTTAGATTTCGAATGCTACACACATCACCCGAGAGTCACCGAAGCACTCGCCAACGGGGAACAGCTGCCCCTACCTGTTGCGTTCTATCTGGACGGAGTGACCTACAGAAAATCAGCATCAGGGCGTAACGATTCAAGTTTAGGAATGTGGGCGATCAATTTGCTCACTGGAAAGAGGCACTTGATGTCAGTCACTAGGTCCAGCGATGCATGCCAGTGCGGCTGCAAGGGCTGGTGCACGCTGTATCCACATCTTCAAACGTGTGCATGGCAATTCGAGGCCATGCAATCAGGACATCGGCCAGCTACCCAATCTGACGGCAGGCCATGGCCGAAGAACCATGAGCTCGCTGAGCCAAAACAACTGTCGTACACTGCGGCCCTGATTTGGATCAAAGGAGACTGGAGCGAGCACGCTAAGTCTCTCGGCTTGGCCCCGTGGTCTGCAGTGTTTAATGCGTGCCAGTTCTGCAGAGGCAGCCAGGACGAGCTACACAGCATATACGACCTGTGCGTTGCCGATTCCCCGCTGCCTTTCACATTGAGGACCA